TAAGAAATGCACAAAATATTTAATTTTAATTTTTCTTTGCTTTTTTTTTAACCCGTAATTAATGAAATGGATGAAATTTTATTCATACATTAGTAAAATTAATAATTCTAATTTACAATTATTCGAGTGATTTTTTTTCTTTCGTTTTTTAATTTTAAATTCATTTTTTTAACATTTTTAAACTTTAAACATGGATAATCAATCATTATTGCTATCTTTTAGTATTAGAAATATTCCTTTCAAATTGGTTAACAATTAATAAATGCATAGATAAAAAAAAAAGTGTTACGATCTTCGTTTAAACCTAAAAGCTTTGCTAGCATTTTTGATTTCCAATGATAAGAAAATGGGAAAGAATGAATCGAAAAGCAAATCATATCCATTCTTCCCAGAAATTATTTTTTGGTACAAATGTAATAAAAGCCAAAAATTCAAAAAACACATCCATTTTTGCATTCTATCTTTATAAGAAAATTTGCAATATTTATGGAAAGAAATCATCGAATAAGAAAGAATGAAATCGAAAATTCTTAAAAAAAAAAAAAATTTGATGAGAAAGAAATGAAATCAATTTTGGATCAAATCAATTCTGTGCTGTAAAAAAATTAAAAGTTTCCATAAGAAAGAAAATTTTAAAAAAAATAAACAGAAAAGGAGAAAAACAAGAAAATGTATGACAAAAAGATGACAGAATTGCAGAAAATAATAATTTAGATAAGCGAATTTGAATTTCAATTAAAATTTTTTTCATCCATTACTTTGCATCATTTTTAACTTTCGTTATTTGAATGATCATTGTACATAAGCTGAAATGAGTAAAATTGGTAGTATTAGCCTAGGAGCCTAGTTTTCAAAAAAAAGAAAAAATCAACCAGCTCCAAACTTCTAAGACCTAGATCCAATGACAAGCTTTTTAACCGCATCAATAATCAGTAATTTTCAAAACAGGAATTAACAACAGCTGCTGGCATCAAACTTGTCCTATCTTATTTTTGCAAACGTATTTAATTACAAAAAAAAAAAATTATCGGGGAAACAGGAAAAATTAGAAAACTAGGTTTTGCCATTTCCAGGAAAAATTTACAATTCTGCTTCCTAAATGATTTAATAATTTCAATTATTGCAATAGTGGCAGTAATAGTAATAATAATAATAATAACGCAATATTAATAAAAATAATAATGACAAAAATAATAATAATAATAACAATAATAATAATAATAATAATAATAATAATAATAATAATAATAATAATAATAATAACAATAATAATAATAATAACAACAATAATAGTAATAATAA